AGAGAGAGAGAGAGAGAGAGAGAGAGAGAGAGAGAGAGAGAGAGAGAGAGAGAGAGAAAGAGAGAGGAGGGAGAAGTAATGGAAGGAAGACTAAGCTTTTGATCATCACGCAAGATTTTAAGAGGATAGGTGAGTAATCTACGCTTGATATAGCAGAGATCGAGAAAAAAAATCCATTCATCACCACTCAAGGAGAGCAAGAAAAAAAGTCGCGTAAGCTGTACTACAGAGATGCTCTCCACAACATTCCAATGAACCAACCCCAGATAGAGCGCCCATACGCACGTAGACCTTTGAAAAAAAACACAGCTAAAAGCATGTCACCATCAAGTCCACTGGATGTCACAGATAAGCCTCGCCTCCCAATACTCCAATCGGATCCTATTAGGCGAACTCCCACATGTGAGCTACTTTCGAAAACACGAAGCGATCACCCGTTCGAAGTGCAATGCCATAGGTCATACTGAACYAGGGACCTATACGATGCCGAAGCCGTCAAATCAAGTMTCTCCCCTTGTCACCCCGGTCTGTCTGTCCCAACGACMATATCACCACTGCCAATTCCTCCCTCTTCAGGAAGCCGCCACCTCATCAACTCTYYTCAACAYGCCAACACTCACACRATCAACTACAGCTCCCTTGATTGTCGAGAGTAAGCCCATCCGAACTTCCATATGTGAGCTACTTCTGAAAGCACGAAGCGATCGCCAGCTCAGAGTGCAATGTAATAGGTTATACTGACCCAGGGACCTATATAATACCGAAGCCGTCAAATCTTGTCATTCCCCCCTCTATTCCAGTCCGCCTTACTCATCGACCCCATCACCACCGCCGATTCCTCCATCCATAAAAAGCCGCCACCTCATGGACTCCCCACAACACGCCAACTCCCATAAGGTCAATCATAGTTCCCGCGATTGTAGAGAATAAGCCCATCCCAACCCATCCATTCGGGGTGGCTGGGCGCAGCGCTACCGGGAGCGCTGCGCCCCGGCAGCATCAATCGTCAATCAAGGTCACCGCCACGGAGAGGAGCCGCGCGCGCCAGATAACTGCACGCAGCAAGGAAAATATTGCGCGCGCGCTCGACGATTGCGCACGATTGGGCACACGCCCTGAGCTGAAAATTGGACCACCGGTGGTCTACGCCGAGGAGCTGAGGTGGACCAAATTTCAGACCAAACGGTCCAGCGGATCACGAGATATCAAAGTTCTAGGGCGCGCCATGAAATTCGAGCGTGTCAGGCGATGAGGACGACGGGGGGATGGAATGGCATCTAACAACCTCAACACTTGCTGTTTCCTGACTTTTGAAAGCAGGTCTACTGCCATCTCTCTACTTTGCGCTTCAAACGAGTGATGCTACAGGATAGCATGTCGGATGAAGGAGGGTATTGCTTAGGCATTACTCTAGGAGTAATCACTAGTGCTCTTCATCTTGCGACTTTTGGTGGAGGAGGTCGGCTCGGCGCGAGTGGGAGGAGGATTGTCAGGGGATAGTGAGTGGGAGGGCTTCGAGGAGAGAATCCAAGCTCCGTCATGTGCTCATTACAAGGGGGAGGCTTCTACTCGAATGATCGTCATTCTTTCTGCTTCATCTACATTGCATCTATAGGGCATATCATCATCGTATCATCAGCTTCAGCAACAACAGTATTGTCATCATTATCATTATCATCATGATCATCATCATCAGTAACGAGTTTAGTCATCATCGTCGCCATCATCAACAGCATCATCATCACTATCATCTTCATGYTCAGCATTGAGGTGGAAAGAACGTGGCAGCGAGAGTGCTTGGCAACAGAAGGACAGAGAGGAGAAGCAGCATCAGCATCAGCATTATCAGCAACAATAGCAGCATTTCTGACATCACCATCATCATTATGTCCATCTTTATGGGTGAGTCATCATCATCTTCATCATCAACTTCATCATCATCATCATAATCATCATCATTATCATCAGTATCATCATCGACAGCATCATCATCATCATTATTTTCATCATCATCAGCAGCATAATTGACATATCATCATCATCATCATCATCATCATCAATATTAGCATCTTCATTGGTGCGTCATCATCATATTCATCTTCATCATCATCACCATCATCATCATCATCATCATCATCATCATCATCAGCAGCAGCAGCAGCAGCAGCAGCCGCAGCAGTAGCAGCAGCAGCCTTATTGATATCATCATAATCATCATCATGAGTATCATCATTGGTTAATCTTCATCATCATCTTTATCATCAGCATCATCATCATCATCATCATCTTGATCGATAACTTATTGTTATCAGTAGAATTTGCTCTTCAAGTCTTCGTGTCCCTTTTCATATCTTCATCATCATTCCCGTTATCATTATCTTCAGGGCACTATCCTTCGCCTCCAACAAAATAAAAAAGGAACGCCAATTTGGTGAGGGGGTAGGGGAGAGCYCTGCCCCGCAGGGGTTTCATTAGGAGGGAGGTGGAATCCTGGAGGGGTATGGGCAGATTGTGAGGAATACTCTTTTCTGGGGCTGGGCATCAAATCCCAGCGGGGGCAGATTAGAGTAAAGGGATAGATAGGGTAATG